CCGACCGTTGCGCTCGTTCCACTCGTGCCTCCACTCGCCCTGTACGTTACCTGCTCCACTCATTCCTTTCGTCTACAGTGCGAGTGGCGAGTGGGGCGAGTGGCGGGAGTGGTTTGGACGACTTCAGTTCCTCGCGCACCTCCTTGTGCAGTCGCACTGTCCTGGGAGCTCCAATAAATCAATGTTCCCATGGTTCCAGTCGCCTTATGCCTTACGTGTTCCACTCGTTCCTGTTTGCCTAGCTGTGGCGCGAGTGGCCCGCGTGGGCGAGTGGCGCGCGCGGCGCGGACGACTTTAATCTTTGCCCCTGCGCGGTCGCAATGTAAACTTCTGCATGTCGTTCAGAATTGTCGTTCACACTCATGCAAGCAGGTACTTCAGAAACTTCTGCCAACATGAGCCGAAAACGTATCAGTGTCTGTGAAGTCGGACTTGTTCTATAGCAGAGTGGCATTGTGAGAGTTCGGGCAGAAACTGCATTAGTGCTTGCCGCCTGGCTACGACGAACCTGCCATGCATGGTGCATGATCCCTGCCTTACTTAAGTTCTACGACCTGCCACCTTACGGGGGGCTAAAACGGAAGGAAGGCTGCTCTCATCTTTGGCACTCCTGCACTGCTTCAGCTGGCCAGGGCAGTGACCCTGGGCAAGGCAATGCGTGGGCTTGCTTGTCGTAGCAAAGCTTTAAAGGTACCATGTTTTGTTGCAACGGCCGACTTGTCAAGTCCATCAACATCATGCGAACACACGCTGGCCCTCGCATTTGTGCAGCACCAGTTACTTGGCGGCTACACGACTTGCAAGTTGCACTTTGTAATCAGCAAGTAAGGCTGCCACTCTGCTCTTGTTGGCAGACTCGGCACAGCGCCCATTTTCGAAACCTGGCCAAGCTTGAAACAGCTTCGGCGTTTGCGCATTGAACCAAGACTAAGGCTGACTAAGGATTTAAAGCCTATGTCATCGTGTCCATCCACGTGTCCTTGTCAGGATGGGAACTCAACTAGAAGACGCGCTGAGTCTAACTACTGGCGCCGGGGTTTCCCAGCCCACAACACCTGATCTCAGCCCACCCCATGGCACACCGCTCAGCCCAAAGTCGAAGAACACGTGCCGAAAATTGACTTTCAGGACTGTCTTCGTCGCCATTAGAAGGGGTTTGGGGATTAGCACGCTTTTACTACTTCCGAGCAACTATGACGTGTGCATGCTTGAAAACCATCGATCATTTGCTCAATGTTGATTATCGAAGTCTACAAAGGTCAACTAAAGTCATAGCAGCTTACAGCAAATGTGAATGGGATTATCCTTTCCCTTACAGCCCCGCTTTGCGACTTCAGGGCAGATGGTCATTCCTCCAGTGAACTGCGTTGGAACGTACTCTGCAGGAACCACAGGAAAACAGGACACTGCAGCGGCTCCTCTCTCTTGTATAAAGGCTGACTCCTAACTACACCCCTACTATACGTCAGGCTGCCCCGCTCACCAACCACAGAAACGCAGGATTGGAGGGGTTGCAGCGAACTGCAAGGACTGCAGTAGCCTGCAGTAGACTGTGGTGGACGACAGGAACCACAGGAACGCGCAGGATTGCAGGGTCTGCGAACGGCCCAATATCGCGGGTCAAGCAGGGCTCTTCTCTTGTATAAATGCTGACTTCTAACTGTACCCCTACTATACCTCAGCATGCTCCGGCCCATCGCCAGCCACAGAAACGCAAGACTGCAGGGGTCGCAGCGGACTGCGAAGGACTGCTAACCATGTCCCACCGCCGGCATTGGCCCAACTGTACATCCGAACTCACAAGCAAAAGCTTTGGCTGCTTAAAACCGCGGGTCCGATAAGGCTATCGATGCGCTTGCCACACCCGAGGGTGCCCCAGCCTACCGTTTGCCCAAGACAAAAAACCCAAATAACCTGTCAGGAAGGTCTTGGCCCCAACAAGCCACAATCGGTCTCCGGTCCGGATACGGCCGAAGTCGTGATTTGTCACTTTTCCACAGGCGAAATGTTGCTGTGAAGTGGCGTTCCTTGTCTTTCGCAAATGTTTGTGTTACATGATGCCGTCACAGAGGGATTACCGTACACCCCATGGCACACCGCGATTGGGCTAACTTCCCGTGGTTGGGTCGTGTAACCCCCTCCACCCAGCACAGGGTGATGGATCAAAGTGCTACTGCCACGATGTCCTGCGACTGACAATCAGCAGCCTCGGGCAAACAAGCGACTCCATCATTCAGTCGATAGGGACCCAGCTGTCAATGCCCCAGCAGCCGCAGCAAATTTCATACATTCCTGCCACCACGTGTTGGAAATTGCTTATTTGATATCATGTGGAGTACATGTTCCCACGCTAGAACTGCGCACAAGGCCGGTCATGTACAATGTGACTTGTCTTCGCTTTGTTTTCTCACGGACGTGTGCTTGCAAAGGCTTAGCTTAGCCCTGAGCTGCTCGTTCTGCTGAACCCTCAAGTCTATAAAGTCTAAACTCGAAAATCGGACGCCACGGGCTTGTGTGGACTTGGCTCCAAAATCTCTAAAGACTCCCAATATCCAAACATCAATCGCCTGCTTCAGCGATGCCTCCCCTCTGAGCCCGATGTCGGTAGATGTCTCTCAGACCATTCAACGGTTTCGTTATGTTCAACAATCGAAGATCATATTTGGTGCAATGAGCTGCTGATGTTTTCATATCGCACCAGTCTCAGCTGCTTCTGCACACAGCACTCAAGGTCCCTTTCTTGAATGGGCCTTAGTTCACTAGCGCACACAGCCGCTGTGATCACACAACCCTAGCATCCGTGGAAAGGTCTCTCGACACTTAATTACAGACCCAAGTCAGTGATGCCGGACAGTCAGCTGTTATCCTTGCAACAGAACCATGCAAAACACAATTACCCCTCCTGCAACGGTTTCCCTTCCACCAGTGCCACAGCAAAAGCCGCGCGGAAGCAATCGCCCGCTCCTCAGTTCAAAAAGAAGGGACTGCGGGCTTACGGAGCATCATGGCAACCCAGAAGGACATCTCAGGCGAGACCCTGTGCCTTATCAACTATTGGTGAAACTCATCAGGGCATACGGGCTAAAATTACGCCAGGAAGCCAGGAAGGACTTGCAAAACAGCTCGTTTCAAGCATGTGCTCTTCTGGCTTCATCACAAGTTGCCATAATACAACACTAGGAGTCACCAGGTTCTTTGCTTCTGCGCTGTCCCTCCTCGCTTCCCTCTAGATCAGAGCAGCAGTTCCAACTTCGAAGTTCGAGGTGAAGACCACCAGCTCTCTGCTTCAAAATTCGTACGAGTTTCCTTCAGAAACATCCTATGCTCATGCAATCCCATTGGTCTATGCCTATGCAGGTAGCTCAGCGCCAGCTACGGCAGGAGCCACAGCCTGCGGTTGCAGTTTAGCCTGAGAGGATTTTTGCTGTAAGATCGCCAAGATCTCCTGATTCTGCAAAACCGCCGGGCGATGCAAGCCGCTCACGTCCAAGGCTCCTCTTCGACGGGTGCCAAGACCACTGAGCAGAGGGCGGGAACAGGGAGAGGGAACTGGGTGGCGCCGTCCCTGCTCGCATCGTCCGGTGCTGGCCGTGGAGTGATCTGCATCGCCACAGGCACCCAATGCATCCATGCGTTCAGCACCAGAGCGACCACCCCCCTTGCCAAGACGTTGGGGAACACCCTGCATCCGTGACAGTGCCTGGCAAAGGCGGAGTGAGTGCCTCTCACTGAGCACCTCCGGATCCTGGTGGTGCAGAACTCGCAGCTGCGCCAACAGCGAATCCAGCAAGGACTGGCTTCCAAGCCGCATGTCGCCCATCGTTTCGCAAATCTCCGTGATCAGCTCGATGCTCAGATCCCGCAGGCGATGAGTCAAGGAGTGAAGCGTCGAGTTGGCCATCTGGTACAGATCCGTCTTCGTAGTAGCAGTGAAGCCGTGCTTTTTGCATGCCAACTGGGCCAAAAGGCGTGTGATGCGGAGGACATCTGCCGGCTCAGCGAAGTACGCGGCCGAAGTCATGCGCCATGCCAACGGCACCCACCGATCCTCAGCAGCGTTGATTGTCAGAAGCTCATTAGCCTTGCCCAAGATGTCCTGCACCGTGTGGCATGGCCGTTTCAATTCATAGGGCGGTTTAGGAAAAATCCGTCCTGGCCCCTGAGGCATGACGGCATCAAAGGAACCAGCGCTTTCCAAGGCATCTGTCGCGGCATGTCGCAATGGTACATCGCTCGCCTCGTTAGCCCGAACTTGACTTTCCAGAAGCTCATACCTCTTGGAGCCCTTCGCGATTTTGTTGGCCGTGGCGAAACGCAGGCGCTGCGGCAAGGACATCCTCAAATTCTCAGCCAAAGGAGGAACTGGGAGAACTGGTTGGTTTCGGGCTCCGAGAAGCGGAAAGGTTCCTAAAGCCACCTTTGCCAGCCGCTCCTCGTCATGGTCCAAAATGGCCTGCTGGAGCTCATGGATTCTCGCACGACGGGCTGGGATTTCGTCGAGTTCTGGTGACTCTCCAGGTGACCAAACCGAGACTGCTGCTCCTTGCCGTGCTTCGGTGTGCGTTGATGCAGTGGTCGGTGAAGTGCAAGTCGATGTGCCATCCCTCTGGCCCACTACTCCGAGCCTCCGGTGAGTACATGACTTCGGCTTCGACTGCAACTCGTTTTGATGGATGCTCTCGATGCCTTCCTCCGACATGGCGAAATCAATCAATGCTGAAGCACGGTCCCTCAAGTGGTACTGTAGGTTTGCCTTGGTAAAGGTCTCCACTTCTTCTTTCTTCCTTGCTGCAGACCGCGCTGCTGCAATGACAAGCTTCTCTGTGCTGGCCGGTTCATCAACCGTAACATACGAAACGTCCTCCTGGCCGAGCGGGTTGCTGCGGTAGGTGCTCTCGGGCCAAACCGCCGACTGAAGTCGGATTTCTGCACGAACCTGCTCCCATCTGAACTCACGGTAACTGCCCATGAGTCACGACATTGTGTCGCATAGCGTGGTCACTACATCACACTTGGTTCAATCAGTTTTGCACGATCTGCTTCAAGCCCACCCGAAGCGACGGAAGTTCGTAATGCGAGAAAAATGAGGTTCACGCTTGGTCACCTTATGGAACCCGAGTGAGCTCACCTGAAAAGGCTCTGTGCAATAGACTCGTTACCTGGTTGCTCCGCAACTCTTGACCCAAACTGGCTCCAATCGGACATGTCAGGCTGTGAGCGTGCCGAATCATTCCGCCTAACGGACCTAACGCAAACATGCCTCACCAAGGCTCTACCCTACAAGTAGCCTTTCCTCACAGCTTCGTCGCCACACACAGGATACTCAACGCATCTCAACGTCAACTCTAAATATGGTCGGGAGTTCGGCAAGCGCTACCGTAACTACACTACACACGAACTCTTCCAAAGGAGCACAGAATCCCGGCATCCCGCGCGCCCACAGCATTTGGCATTTGTCGGACTCGGTCCGCGGCCCGTGGTGTCGACGACTTTGCCGCCAGGCCTCGGAAAGTGGCATGAGCCCGTTGCAACTGGACGCCTCGTAGAACAAAGCCTCTGTTCTAGAAGCCCTGAGTTTGACCCCTTCGCCAAAAGCGTAAGGCATGGCAAAGCTTTCCAGGAGCTCCTGATTTCCCGCTTCCGGGAGGCCAGAGCGAGGGCTTCACCGTACCCTATGGCAGTCTGTGACTCTTTGGAAAACCGACACGGCCCGAGCCCCGATGTCGAAGTCTGCCGCTGCGGTCACGCACACAAAGGCTCTTAGCCAGGCGCACTGGAAAGCTGGTCTGCCGCAGAACCTTGTTTAATGTTTAATGAGGTTCTGCAGAAAGGCATCGCTGGATGTTTGGGTCATAGCATGCATGTAGCAAGTAAACTTCACATTCTTGCATGGCAAGAGGCCTGGCCCTGGGCAGTGACCAGCACAGCCCCATCCTTTCCTCGAAGCTCGGATGGCTTCTCTTCTGACTCTTAGTAACAGAACGCAACCCACTCAGGTTTTACATGAGCCTATTGTCCTGAAATGTGCCTCTTGGTCTAAGGTAAGGTGTAAGGCCGGCAGATGAGGCGATGTCGGCTGACTGTCACATTTGGCATGTCGCCTTTTTTGGCCGTGCACTTCTGTTCTCAGCTGATGCACCCAGCTGATGCTCGGCTGTATCAAGGCCTCTAGACAGAAACTTATTCCAAGCATGTCCAAGTCTTCGAGGCTTGCACCTACTGGATCGCCTCACCGTTTCGGTGCTGTCTATGCGACATGAAGGCCATGCGCCATGCTGCTTATCATTGGCTCTTTGCTAAAGACTGACAGCTGAAGGATCCAGGAAAGGCTGTACCTTGCCATGCCACTGGGTCCCCATGGGGTTCTGGGTGCCAGCAGGCCTTAGAACCTCTGCGATACTTGTCTAGTGATACGCAGCGCTCAGGGCCGGCCGCTGGAGCGGCTCAGTTGTAGACCATATACTTTGGCGTAGCAGAGAACTTCGAATAGCCTTTGATAACCTGAGTTGCTGTACGACAGCGACTAGCAGACTAGCACCACCTCTTCACAAGGTCAGCTTGCTTCGGCTATTGAGTTCGCAGGTGGCCTTGTTGATGGCATCTATCAGGTCTTTCTCCTCAGCTTCTGGCAACTTTCCTAACCTACACTTGCCCGTGCCGAAGACACCCTGTAAAACGGTCAAACGCAGTCAAACGCAATTGGCTCTGTCGTCCGAACTGCTCCCCGAGCTTGCAAGACAAACTGAGCACGAAGTAAGAGCTACGGCAGCTACGGTGTGGCTACAGATGCCTGGCACAGCATACATGCATTAAACAAGCAGGTCCGGTTGCAGCTTGCGGCTCGGAGATGCTCTTTCGACGGGCTCGGATGGCATACATGCCAGCTTCTGTGCAAACGCTGCGGCACTCGGCACCTTGCACACACACACACAAACTGGCATGTGCAAGCAGAAGATCTTGACACTGAAGCCGCATTGTCCCATTGTGAATCAGGCATGCCAGCCTGTGGTGTTGGGGCAAAGCCGTGCTAGAAGCTCAAATCGCACATCCCTGTCAATTGCCATTGTCCTGAGATGTAAACACATGGCATGCCCTGTCACTTGACAATGTAGATACAAACCTCGCTCACAGGTGCTGCACGCTTGCGACAGAGAATCTTTGCGTGGATCTTAAAGATGTGCGTACGTCCTTCCAAATCAGGCAGTCCGAATTCGATTTTGCGATCCAGACCTCGCAGCACACTGGGCAGCTCGATCACACCAGTATCTTGCTGGACATCCGGCATTGCGAAAGATTAACTTGGGTCCTGACGACCAGGTCTCAGCAATGCAGGGTCCAATGTGTCAGGGCGATTTGTCGCCATGAGAACCTGGCTGGTCAGGTAATGATGTAAGTAAGCTTGCGACGGACTTTCTGCACTCTTTTTTGGCACGGAATTTGTCCGCCCGGGAAAGAGCAAACAGCATCGATGGACGTTTTGCCGCACCAACCTCGTCATTCTGAGCGCGCCGTCGTGGCTCACTGGCCTACTGAATCATCTTATCATCTCTTCGAGATGCAGAGCTCTCAGGAACGTCGGGCGTGTCGTGTTAGTATCGCAAGCTGAAATATGCTGAGCCCGTGCAGGAATGATCGCAGGCATTGCAATCGCGAAAGGTCACACGATTCACGTGCCTGTATGCTCAGTTCACGCAACCAGATGCAACCAGCTTGTGATGGCTCCTTCTCGTCATGCCAGACCATGTGCACGCACAGCATGACTTTGGTGCTGTGCACTCGTAGGGCCACCTTGCCGAAGCAGGACAGAGCGAATCCGGAGCCCTTTTCCAATTCACCTCCGGTCCATCCGATGCCTTTCCGCACCAGTTGACCAAATACCAAACATCTCGAGAAGCTTAGGCTTAGGTCTTCTCCCGCAGATGTAGCACCTCCTGCGCCCCCAATAGAATGGCTTTTTTCCTTCGAAGGTTGGGTGGTTTTGGCAGTGTCAAAGATGAAAACAACTCCTAACCCGCAGCCCTTGCATGACGCTATCCCATTGCTGCGCCAAGGTTCTCCTCGATTGACAGCCCCTCATCCACCATCTGCCGTGGATCCAGCTCTAATCCATGGTAGTGGTCAGGGTGGAACACCTCCCGATAAGACACCTTGTGTGAGGGTTCGCCCAAGAGGATTGTCTAAATATTGTGTCTGACCTGTCTGGGAATAACCAGCTCAGCATCCCTGCTTCCCCTGCATCCAAGACGCCACTTGAGACCAGAAGCTTGGAATTTGCTCTGTTGGAACAACTTCTATTCGCTGCTCTTGTGCCCAAGCTGTCAGGACAAACTCGACATGTACCGGCTTGAAGTAGCTCCACGTGAGCAGAGAGTATTGACTCCTGCAGAGACAAAGACACACGTGCGGCTTGTAGCACAAAGCAACAGGTGCCGAGCCTGCAGGCCAAGCGCACATGTAAGCGGAATTACGAGTGACTGTGTGGATAAAGAACCTTCAGGCTGACACGTCAAGCTACTTTCAGCGAAGGGCCTCGGAAAACCTTGTCGCATGTCGCTGAAACCTGCTGAAACTTCAATTTCCAAACAACATGCTGAAGAAACGTCCTGAGCAAGTGCAGCACAGCCCCCAAAGAGCATCCGACTGACATCATCGATGACTCGCCTGGGTGCTGGAGCACTGCTCAACTTGAACTTATAACTCAGCATGCTCCATTCACTCAAGTCTTGCTCCTCATTGAGCGGGCCACTGTACTGATGACTGATGTTTCCAGGAGATTTGGCCTCATCAAAGGGAATGGATAGCCCAATCTCCGGGGGCAAGTAGGAGTGCACAATCTCCATGTGGATCACCAACGGCAAGTACCTCGGAACATGCATACTGGAATAGCTCTTGGCGCTTAGCATCCGTCTGAAGACTCGGACATTTCGACAACAAGTTTTTGCAGTCCACATCGAACCGATACCATCCGACCCCGCAGAAAAGTATCACCGACAGCTCACCGAAACACACTAACACCACTCTGCCCCCCTACAACCATGCCCCCCAACCCACGAAATTGTTTTTCCACCAAGCTGGTCAGGTGAGAGAAGAAGGAAGTGTCAGCAGAAGCTGAGCACGGTCCGGCCGGGGCCCTATGCATGGCTCCCCTTACAGTCGTGTTCATGCTTTTCTCACAACCTTCATACTCAGAGTGCGTCTCATTTCCATGCACACATTTCGACTCACACTTCGTTCGCACTTTACCCCCATGTTTCCAGCGAGTGTCGCTCACAGCTCCCACGCTCCAGCACACAGCTTGGTGACACTTGTCTGACACATCTAGAATCGAGAACCCCGAAAAGCACTGACATGCTGCTCACACAGCAGAACTAGCAGTCACACAAATACTTGTTAACCGGCTCTTCTCACGATAACAACCAAGGCCATGAGGCAAATCAAAGGTGGTGTGGAGAATGGAGGGGTAGGAGTTGAGGGGTGGAGTGTTCGAAGCCGGAGAAGGCATGAAGGGGCTGAGGGTGGAGGAAGGGACGTTCTCTGCCATGAGGAGCCCCGTAAAGTCGGAGCGAGAAAAAACCTTCATCCCGTCTTGCCACAAGTATCTTGAGCGTTCAATGCCTGTTTGTACTTGTCTTGTTCAGGCAGTCTCTCACAGCTGTGCCTGTTAGGAGTGGTATCTGATGTCATATCCTCGCTGATTGTGCACATGGCTGCACTTGTCAAGCATCCCGAGCCTTCACGTGTGTTTTCCCAAGCAGAGGAAGTCTGTCGTTCTACTATTCTCGGGCGACTCACGGGCATTAGTAGCCGCGCAATTTCAGCTGACAGCACCTATTCGACCTATCCAGCTGCTCCTTACATAAAGCCATAGACTCTATAGACTTTCAAGATCTGATGTGACCTTGTTCGATTGGCAATGTTTCGAACCGAGTCCTGTAACCTGGCACACGAAGGCCCAGACCCTGCTTCCAACCACACCGCCAGGTAATCACAATCGCCATTGTCCTTGCGATGGGGAAGTCATGATGCATCCATTGGCCTTTGCAGTGCCCCCTTTGAGCTGGTTTCCAGTTGTGCAAACATGCAACAAAACATTCCACGCAACGCAGTCCACATCAATCTTCAGAAGAGCTGGAAAACGAGCATGCAGTGGCTCCGAAGCAAATTGGAGCCTCAAAGCCGGACAAAACTGACTGCGACCATTATCGGCAAGCATCAGTGGTTGCAACAGTCAGTGTATGAGTAAGAGAAGCACTCTGCGAGGTCGTTGCGGATTGTTGTGATTATGATCCAATACTTCCTACTGCAACATTAAACTCACTCAACTCTGCCACCAACACTGCTGCCGATGTCTGGTCAGGTGGCAACTGCTCCACAAAGCGGCCAGGGCTCACCAGCTCGGCGACAAGTACGACCTGCAACAAAACACAAGTCGCCCAAAGTTCCACAGTGGAGGCTGGGTTTTGAGGCTGAGTCTGGACTTGCCTCTTCTCGGCGGCCAAATCGCAATCGCAGGTCTTCCACCATCTTGGGATCGATCTGATAGGGGCGACCCCGAAGCCCAAAGGCCTTTAAGGCATTAGCTCGAGAGCCGGAGCTGACACAAAGCTTTCATGCTCCAGGCCTCGAAAAGGATGGCGCGGAATGCACCTTCGTCAATCGGTACACCCCCACCCACCCCCGCCCCCCGAATGTTGCAGGTGCCCAACAACCGAGCCCCACCTGACCGTTCGAGGAGGCAATTTGCAGGGTCATGCCTTCAGCTTCAGTGGCTGCTTACCGGCAAAGCTATTTTTACTTGACTTAACAAAATTGCACGACACAGTACTCGCCGAATCCTGCCCGGCATTCTCTGCGAGATTGAATCGAAGCTCAGCGCACGCAAGAAGCTGTTTAGGCCCTTGGAGCACTGGCCGACCCCACACGCAGTGCACCACACTGAAATGCATCGAGCGCGCGTGCGCGCCCGTGCACGAGCAGTATGCGCACGGTGAAGGTGCTCTGGCTTGGCCGACAAAGGGCCAGCATCATTAGCATCATGCATCTCCACCGAGGTCCTGCACAAGCACGCACGCGCTTCCATCATGGGCGGCGAGTACTTATCGGCTATTATAGGCTCCGCGCTGTTGTCGTCTATGCTCTGCTTCTGCCACTGTTCAAGAGATCGACCCTGCTCTTTGCGACTGTTGCCGCCTGTCCTGCCAGCCTATGCTCGTTGACAAATATTTGCGGGCTCGAGGTCACTCTAAAGTGAGTCATGTCTTGTACTTCAGACCACCTACTAGCTTACTAGCTGAAGCGAAGGATAGCGAAGGCTTGCGGTGTTGACTCCGCCTCTGGGCCATCGACTTGAGCCAGCAAAGGCCGAGGCCAGGGCTGGCCGGCGCCGAGGTTCACGATCAGCGGAAGACCGGGCCCAAGCCCAAAGTCGCGCTCAGGCTCAGCTAGGAATACCTCCAAACAGTTCGACTCTGTGACTCTTGAGGCGACTTTTCCAACCCCCATTGGAGCCTCCAAGATCCGAGACTGCGTCAGGAACATTGCCTGGATTCCATTGCGATATGCTGGACTTGACTCCCGATCGACAAGACGATAACTTAAGCTCTTCCAGCAAAATGCTTTCCACGTGTTTCGAACGTCGAGGAGCATGCCTGGATGAAAAGTCTGATATCTCCCCATCTAGCCGATGTGCACGACGCGGACGCAGCCCTGGACCACATGCGTCGAAGTCTGACCTTGACGACTGGGCAAAGTTAGGGTTTTGTGCAGAGTGGAAAGAAGACCTCACCTGGCTCGAAGCATGCCATCAAGCTGCACAAACTCACCCCCAAGAGTCCATGTCGATGCGTGGGAAAGCACGGTGGCTAACCTAAGCTGCAATCACACCATAGACGTGTCAAGCTGTCGCTTCCTGGAGCCGATCATGCCCTGACCTTACGACAGATCCGAGCTTGGATATTCAGAACTGCAGTGCGAGAGTTCCCCACTCGGCAAGCCACGTGGGTGCTTTGGCCCGGCCCTGCTGCTTCCAAAACAGCTTTGCCACGTATGCGGCCAGCCTGGGCCCAAAAACAAAGCCTTTCACAAGGGCCAAATACTGCATTGTACATGTGATGGTCCCTGTAACTTGGCCACACTGGGCATTAGAATGGTGCCTGTCCAGCACCTCTCCGAAAAGGTCGCCCTGCCCAAGCGCAAGATGCTCGTAGAAGTGATCCTTCCGTAGTATGTCCTGCCAATCGCCCAAGCACAATCCTGCCTGACACACCACTCGCACCGGCATCGTTTCAACTTTGCTCCTGACATAGGTGCCCCATCTCCAAGCACTGCATCTCCTGGGCCAACACTGAGTATTGGTTTGCACTGCAGTGGGAGTCACTCAACCGCCGCTCGTGCCCGACCAACGTGACATGTGACGCTTGCAACCGAAACAAATCGAGGTACAGCAAGCCTGGGAGGTCGGAGGGCTTGCAACCAGGGTACCCAATCGGACACAAGACAACGACTACAAGTTGAGTGATCTAGCATGATCTAGCGCTGCAAGTCGGGAAACAAGATGGTCCACCAGCGCCATCACGAGATCGTGGTGCTCGGCGGTGCCTCCGTAGTAGCAGTTCACTTGCCTCCGGGGTGGTCAAAGGCAGGTGCATGCTGTGGTGAGCCGTTCGCACGTTGCTGTGAGCATGGCATAGCAGCGCTCTCTTGAAACGATTTGACCCCGCCTTGCATAGCAAGTCATATCCCCCAAATCTATCAGGAAATTTAGGATGGGGAGCAGCTCCTGGGGCTCTTCCTCGGCTGTCTCGTAACAATCGGCGGTCATGAAGTAGACGGCGCTGACGTGATCTGAAAGCGCTCTGACCATGTCCAGGCGTGCTCTGCTCGACTCGGGACAATCCGCAGGGCGCTCTGCCACACTTGGTGGGCATGGCTTGCGTACGAAGCTGTCCTTTCACGGGTTGAGTGCGGCCATTCAGACTAACCTGCCTGCCTCGAGCATCCTAGTGCATCAGCAATGCTTTTCAGGCTAAAGGGAGCATAACGTACTTGGTCTTTCTGCACAGAAGACACAAGTCCTTGCTCAGCACGCCAGCACATATGAGCAAGCAAGCAGTGCTCTGAAGACTGCGCATGGCAAGCGAGCATTGAGCCTATGCGATGCTTCAATCGATTCAGTCCCCAAACCTTGCATTACATGCAGATGAAATGACTGCGACAAGCTTCAAGGTACAGTTCATGTGTAAGGCTCGATGCACTCGCATGCGGGCTAACAACAATAAGCATGAAAACCATGGTAGCAGCTCACATGCCCCAGTGCGCTAAAGCATCTCAGGCATGACATGCCAATGCCAACCACGTGAGACAGTTTGAGTCTCGGGAGTGGTGCTGCAGATTGCTGCGGCGCGGGACTTTGGAGTCAATTTGCTGACCCGATGCAGGCAAAACTCAGCAGATGCTGGTCAGTTGCAGGCACCGCCTGCCTTGACATTGCCACGTGAGTCAAAGCCATCTAACTGATTCACGATCTCCAGCATTGTTCGTTGGACCTGTCAAGCAACAAAGGCAAACTGCCCGCGAACATGGACGGAAGGTTCAAGCATCGTGACAGCCTCTGTCTCTCAATTCGAATCGATGCTAGCGGCGGTGGTCACAAAGAGCACGCCGACCCGCCTCGCTATCACTGTTGCCTTCATCTCCGCCACGGGAGCCACCGATGGCATCTACCTCGTCGATGAAAAGGATGCAGGCCTTCTTTGTCCTGGTAGACCAATCTCGGCAGGGCAAAATGGTCAACGGTTTTACATGAAGGCGCTGGGATTTTCAGGCATCCAGGTGCGTGTTTTGTGTTGTAGATACGACGGCCGTCTTTCCAAACTTCTGCGACACCGACCGCGGCTGTGAAGTCCGAAGTCCTGGCAAGCTGGAAGAGCTCGCGCACCATGCGTGCTCCTTCACCAACATAGCGTTGGACAAGCTCGGAGCCAATGACGCAGATGAAACATGCATCGGTACCTTAGCTGCACTTCTACACAATAGTGCAGCAGCGATCGTTTTGCAAAGTGGAGATGTGTTCAGAGTTGGAAACATCACGTGCGAATCTCTCACGAGATGTCATGCGACATTAAATGTCAATGAGCCTCTTGCCGAAGTTCGCGAATAAGCAAAGTCCCACTCGAAAAGCTGCTTTGCCATACGGTGCGCAAGGAGTTAAGTGTAAGATCCCCGCGATTTGCCACCGCACGTGCGGTCAACGTCTTCCCGGTGCCCGGCGGCCCATACAGCAGCACTCCCTGACACACCAAGGCAACCCTCCAATCGTGAGATGTCTTGTGGGTTCGTGAAATCATTCGCCTGGCCTTGGGCGGGTCAATGCCTAGAGCAACGAACCGCTCGGGTTGGAGCAGTGGCATTTCCACAACCTCCCAACGGGGCAACGCAAAGCTGGAGGCACCCATCCGTCTACACTGTCTGCTGCCAATTTGTACCAACCACGGAGGCTCTTAGCCAAACAGCCTTACGGTCTCAGCTGCTCAAAGGCACACATCCATGGTGGAGGAGTACTGTGCCAGGTCTACATTCGGGCCTCTCGAAGCCGCTCCAGCTGCTCCTTGGCGCCACCCACGTCATTGTAAGTGACGTCAGGCTTCTCCTGGAGAGCCATGCAAGGAAATGCAAGGAACATGCCTTCGTGCCCTTACCAGTCAGCTGGTAGCCATCTGAGGCTGTGTTGGGAGCGTCACAGCGAAACACCTACATCGCTGCTTGCCTCAGCCCATGACACTCACAAATGTGAGCACGAAGCAGTGCACCCACCCCAGGGTTGCGGCGGGGGAAGTGTTTAAGCGGTTTAAACCAAAAATGCTGAAACATAGGCCACCTGTGGCCCGAACATGTTTAAACGGTTTAAACCTTGTAACCAGTATGTTTAATCATTTAGGCGGCTTTTGATAAACATTTGTGTTTGACGCTTTGGTCTATTTGGATATGGGACCAAGTCACAGACAAAGGAAGAGCCGTCGCCCCCCCCCCCCCCCCCCCCGCACGCAAGCGTGCACTGCAAGTACCCCTCCCAGCACGAGTCGAAAGGAGCTCTTTTTTCAAATTGATGATGCCGCTTGGCTTGTCTGCTCTACCACGGTTACCCGGGGATTCCTTTTAGCGGAAGATCTCTTGCATGAATCGGCCCTAGAGCCAGATCGGACAGCGATGTTTGAAAGAAATGCTTTAAACCCTTACGCACACATTGATCCAGAGGAGGATTTTAAATATGTTCGGGCAGAAAGTGGGTAAACATTTGTTTTACCTGGTTCTGGTTCATTTGTTTTTCTTGGTGCGAGTTCTGTTGCGAGTTCTGTCGTTTCTCCAGTTTAGTTCCTGCTTCCATTCCATGTAGTTGAGAAAAAAGGGCTAGTTACAGAAAACCCACGACATCAAGGCCATCCCACAAGCTAAATTCATGAAGAATTAGACTTCATCACCAACGATCTGATTAAATGTAAAGCGTGCCTCATTCACTCACTTTCTTTCGTTCGTTCCCTTACCTCTAAACTGAATCAGGTCTTAATAAGTCTTAATAAGCCTGTATGCACAACAGTAACAGAAGTGTTTAACACTTTTTTGCTACGACACCAGATGTTTAAACTTGCTTATGTTTAAACGGTTTTAACTCCAATGGTCCAAACGTGCTTGGCCCATCCCTGCACCGCATCCTCGACCGTCATCATTGTTACAGATGGGTCGATCTTTGGTGGCAGCGGGATTTGAATTCGGTACCTGGGCTCAGTAGAACCACAAGACAACTCGAAATTGCTCACCAGCCTGATGTTCCTTCCTATCACATTCAAGTCGAAGGCATGTCTGGGGCCCCGCACTTTCCTCCATGGGACGTGTCCACACCGACGCGCATACTCTCCTCGATGTCAGTGGCGGACACCTTCTCACCAAGGCCAACAACAAACTTAGCGAACTCGCGGATCTTGATGACGTACCTGACTGAGACGGCTGTCAAACACAAGAAATCTAGAGATTCATTCTCATTGAAGGCTAAGTTGCTTGGTGTCATCCGTGCCCGGATCAATAATCTTGGTCACCCGGGCTACTTGCAGTGCTTGCTCCTGGCTTCGCAAGGGTCATGTCTAGTCCCGCTCAGTCACAGTGTGTGTGTGTGTGTCTGTGTCTGTGTCTGTGCGTCTGTCTGCGTTATGCATGCGACAGCTTCCACATGCGCCCGCTGTCTGGGCCGTTTAAGAGCGCAGGCGGTATGTTGGAAGCACCAAATGCCAACCGTCCTGCTTCATCATCTGTTTGTCGCCTTCCAGATCCCACTGACTTGGAGGGGCCAGGCCGGTGTCAGATTCCTGCAATCAAATACTAATCAAATCAATCAAGCTAAACTCTGGCATTGTGGGAGCTGCCGGAGGAGGCATTCACAGAGTCTTTGACATGTCGGTATTCAGAATCCCTCTGTTGATCAAAGAGATGGGAAAGAAGCTCCTTAACTCCAATAAGCTTGTTGATCTTGCTGATGTACTCTTTGGCCTCCTTCCTGGTCTGTGTCTTGATTGAGCGCCCCCATGCCACTCTGTTACATGGCAAGCTCAGAAAGCAGTCGCAGCACATTCACTTATTGAGTCAGCTTGGTAGCTCTGCAGTCTTGATCGGCCCGACATAGGGACCAACGCCTTCAAGGGAGGCAGTGCTTTTGACAGCGAACACTTTGCAATGGACACTGGGCTTCGCGGCCATAAGTGCGCATGATAATGACGTCGTCTTCATCGAGTGCTTGAGTTGTAGGCTCATCCTCATCCTGCCGTACCCGCATGGGGACACGTTGGACATGTCTTTGGTAGGATGTTTTTTGCAGGCCGTGTGCAGAAGCAGAGTCCTCGACGCCTTTGCTGCCCTGCTTATTCGCCATTTGGTTGTCCTTCCGGGAACGAGGGCATCTTCTGTGCTATCTCCCACTTCGTGTCGGGCGGAGTCTCTCACTCAGCGTCGTTCTCTCGGCTCACATTCACGAAGCCGACAGGCAGCTCTCGCAGTTTTGCCTTTGGCATTGGCTAAACCTAAGGCCGGGGCCAAAGAATCTTGCGGCATGGCTCCGAATTGAAGGGGTGAGCTCTACAAAACCAGTGAGCTGGTTACCCTGCGGTGAAATGGAACATGTGATTTCTCAAACACCACCTGTGAAATCTCGCGTGGCAGCACTTGGCGATGCGTGCTACTCATATCATCTCGGTCCATCTCCGAATCCAGGGCTGCGACCAAGAGTGCAAAGGACGTTCTTGACGCCCCTCTTCTGCAAACTCCTCGCCGGCATATCTGCCGTGCAGGTGCACTGCCGGTACACATCAGTTGTAAGCCACTGTTGCACGAGACGGCCAACTTCCATCCATCCTGGCTGCTGCCACCTCAGCGCCCAATTGCTGACACATTGTATGCCAAGAGGTCTTCAACAAGTCCCTGGCAACTTTTGCCTCCGAGTCCTTGGCTTCACCCACGTACGCTTGCAGGCCGTTCTGCTTAACCTATGGTGTGACCGAGCGCTTAAGCTCGCGGGTGATGCAAATCGAGGATCTGTTGGCATGCCAGTTAGCCTCTCCAGCTCCGTCCTGAGGTCCATTCAGCTTCACCGGGATACAACATGTCGTGTGCACGGCAGGCCCGTTGCCGATTCAGTTCTGAGCCCCGGGCTCATTTGGGCAGATATAGTCGAGCCTGCAGCTACAACTCATGCCCGCTTTTTGATTGTATTTATTGCAGACCTGTGTAGGTCTATGTACTCGTCTGGACGCCATCAGGCACTTCCCCTAAATTGTTCGATGTAGGCAAGCAGTTTACCATCTTGCTGCAACCTTTGTCAGGCATAATCCGTGAAGGTGAGTCCGCCGAGCTTCCTGCTTTTTCAGATGCCTGGGCACCAAGTGAAAAGACTCACGCGCAGGCAGAAGTAGGACTAAACCTCCGGATCAGCTCTGATCTTCGGATGGTCGTGCACCATGGCGACACACCAAGGTCCAAAGTACGAGGTCGCTAAATTTACTAGAAAGTCGTGGTTATCATACCAGCGACGATATTTGATGTCACGAGCACTCCTGCGGCATGCCTGGCTGAGCTGGGCACTCGTCTGGAAAGTCACGCTCTTCGCCACCAACATCTTGAATCACAGGCACCTTATCAGGTGACCCCAAACGCTTGGACTCCTGTTTTTGGTGTGAAGGGGTTCACATGCCACCCACAAGAAGTCGAGGCAGCAGCGCCCGCTGCATGGGCAACGGAGGCCACGGCCTTCAGGGGTTTCTGCTTGATTGAGGGCTTGAGTCCATGACGGCCAATTACGTTTGGCCTATCAGTGCGCTTTTGCTTGCGAGTGCTAAACTCTCTCGGGTCATCACTGCTTATGCGAGTAGCAAGCAGCCTTTCCATGAAAAGGAACGCCGACAACGACTCCAAGGTCCCCATGTGTCCAGACGCCTCATTGACGTACTTTGGAATCTCTTGTTGGAGTAGGACGGCACTCGCCCCCTGTATGAGCCTTGCCGGAAAAGGTCAGCTTGTGACAAAGATCCGGCAGCAGCATCGGTGATAGGCCTCTGGAAGTCGACAACTTCTGCAGGCCACGCGACATTCGACCCGCCGACGATGAGAATGGAGTTGGAACCTTCGAAGCTTCTGGTGTCAAGCAAACCCGACATTCTCAGATGCATCAGCAGTCTCGGCAGCAACGCCACCCAACATGCTGCACACCACTTCCACCACTTGGTGCGTGAACGGCTGGGGAAGCGGCCATCTGCCTCCAGGAAAATGAAAGCTTGCCCAGACCTGCCAGGTAGACTCAACGCAACCACTCACCATCACTTACCCACTCATGCGCATCAGCTTCCGGCGGCTTCTGGGCCCGGCCGCAGCCGCTGAGATCTAAGCCGTTGTCCTCAGCCCAACAAAGTCATGCTCTCGAGCGCTCGAATGTGCTGCTCGATCCACAAGGCCTGCAGAGAAATGTATCTTGGATGATGCGAGCTCCATCCCCACTCCTCCTGATTTCCGCCGGTGTCCACCCTCGATCAAACCGCCAACGCCCGAAGTAATTTTCTGCTTGGGCGGGTTTCCAAGAGGCTGACAGAGTACTGTACGACCAATCACAGCTGCTTTTCTTGTTGTGGGGAGCTGTTGCCTTTCATTGCTTCAGGTTTCTCAAGCTCCAAGCGGCCAGGATCCGGTTTCAAGGCAGTGGGCCCGACCACAAGATTTGCCTCAAGTTGTCGCGGTTGAAGCCGAGCTTTGCTGCTCATGCTGTGCCTTGGGCCTACGAGTGGCCGCTGCTCCATTGCCGACAAGTACAAAGGCTGATCGGCGCTTGAAAACCTTGCAAGACGCGTGAAGTTTCCAGCTGAGGTGCCACGAGTACCTGCTCCAGCTTTGTGGCATGCGAGTCCTGGGCAGTGCAAGCATAGCTCCAAAACGAATTGATTTCACGTTTCAGAATTAGTCTGTGTACCTCGCCCATCCGAGACAGGACGGCTCTGCTGCACACAGAGCCATTCGAGGCATGTACGCTCGACAAAACGAAGTAAGCCACAGACATTTCCGAGTTGGCAAACGAACTGAGCCTGCTGAGCAGACACATGTGCTCATGGAGGAACGTTCGCTGTCGCACATCGTACACAGCACTTTCTTCCTCATCCCTCTCTCTTCTCTCTCGCCGTCTCCAAACGTCAGCTGTATTCTGACCGCAAGTCAAAAGCCGCAAGGCAGGCAGAAACCACGAGACAAGGAAACTCAAGCATCATCGTGCGGGTACCAACACAGCATGGCTACAGCCATTTCCCAGCCTTCCTGGGAGTACCAGCTGCAAGGCGGGAAGCTGCTACTGCCTGGTTGGCGCCTTGCAGGTACGCACATGCTGGTAAGCCGTCGAAAGCGCGGCTTCCCACGTAACGAAAGCGAACATGCGACCCGATTCAGGGACCGACCGCTGCGCACTAGGCCATGAACGTTTAAGGTGCCCTAGCTGTCGCAGCTCCAGTCATTGTCGGGATCCCTTAAAGACGGCAGGCCTTTTCCGCCCGGCACCATGACTCCCGTATCAGCACCTGGATACAGCACACAAGGAACGTACAGAACCGCCACCAACCTAAAGAAAGTAGCCAAGGTCTCTCACACCTTCTTACGATGATGTCTTCGGAGTGCTTGTGCACGCCAGGGTGTGCTTTCCCAGGCCGGGGCTATGGCTGCGTGTCCCTAGGGTCTCACCCTTCTTCGGGAAACGGTTGATCCTGAGCCACACAGAATGACCCGAAAGTAGTCTAGGGCAGATAAACCTGAGAGGCCTGCTCTATAATAATGTCTGCATTGAGAGAGCCGCACACCTCAATCCAATGTCCGAGCGATGGGATTTCGACATGTCATCGTCAGGGGCTGCATGCAAGCAGAAGCCTATTCGGTGTCATGCCGTGCGTGCCTTTTTACGGCTAGCCGTCATAGCTCTGGAGTCCATTCCTCCTTTGGTGGACCAAGACAGCCGAGACCGGTGCTGAAGCCTGTGGTGCTGAGGCTTCATGGGCAACTCCGGCTTTCGAATGACTACATGTAGACTTGGGAAGAGTGGTCAAGACGACTCGGGGTTATGGATCATGATGCTTGACGATTCGGAGCAAGGCGTCTGCCAGCATGAGTGGCCTAGCCCGTCACCAACAGAACACACACACACACGTCTATTGACAAGGTTGGGGATGGCTTACCTGCTGACACAGGTCGTACCTCACCGGCAGGCTGCGTGCAGACAGGATGCCGTCGGGCATCTTGAACAGGAATTTCAGCCGGAAAGCATCGTTCCCGTTCAAGTAGTACCTTGCGGCAGCACTCGGCAGAAATCTAACAGTTTTAAAGGACCTGCACCATAAAGAACAACGGTGAAGCGAGCCGGAACGGTGAAGTCAGAACATATATAAATATACGTATATACACATACATACATACATACATACATTCATACAGACAGACAGACAGACAGACAGACATACTTACATACATACGGACATACACACATACATACATACATACATACATACATTTTTAGCACTCGCACTCGGCAAAGCAGGCGAGGTAATGGGAAAACCAGATCGACAACGCGTTTCATACATACATACATACATACATACATACATACACACGTACACACATACCTACCTACCTACCTACCTACCTACCTACCTACCTACCTGCCTACATACATACATACATACATACATACATACATTTTTTTAGCACTCGCACTCGACGAATCATACATACATACATACATACATACATACATACCTACGTACGTACGTACGTACGTACACACACACACATATATATATATATGTATCTTAATGTATGTATATATATATACATATATATATATACGCATACGTACATACATACATCCATCCATGCATGCATACATACACACACAATGCATGCAAACATGCATGCATGCATGCAGACATGCGTGCATACATGCATGCATACATGCATACCGACATGCATACATACATGCACACATACATTACATTACATTACATTACATTACATTACATTACATTACATTACATTACATTTACACTACATTACACTACACTACACTGCATTACAGTACATTACATTACATTACATTACGCCACATGTCATTAAATTTCATAACATGACATTACAGTACATTACCATGTGGATCCACTTCGGAGCTTTGCAATCATCGGTTAAGCATTTCTTGCAACAAAAGAGGAACTACGCACTCCTGCTTGCTCCAAGACTCTTGTGCAAGCGCTTCTCTTTGACAAAGCCCATGCTTCCTTGCTTGCACTGACTGCTGGCAAGCCTATTTGCTGCATCAACGACAACTTGGTGGATTTCGACATCTACATTTATACATCTACCATCCGCACCACCTCCGTCACGGAAACCACTCGACTCTATTCTCTTCGGGTCGCACTGTACTCGTGACTCAGAAGTAGGATGACATCATGGTCCCAAAATGCCAAGACAGACTCATGATACTTGCCACGAGATGCTTCTTAGCGTGGCATCGGAGTCAGCTACCTAAATCGTTGGGGAGCTCGGCCCCCTACCGACAGCCATTCCGTACCACTGAGAATGCCACTTCCCTCGCACTTCCCGGCAAGCTCTAGAATTCAGGAAATTAGTTCTGATTACTCCCTACTTCCTCTGCCATTTAGGTCTAGTCTAGACAGTCACAACCAAGTCGCAACGAACTTATAAAACGACTCACGGGCACTAGTAGTCGGCGAATCACTCGTACTAAATGAGAAGAGGCTGCCGGACCTGGCAATCCCTGATGTAGTACCGTAGCAACCCCGCATGTTCCCCTCAGTGTGTGCTGTACTGTCTCCAAGAGACCTCTGTCTTTCATTGTCCGGCTGGCTGGCCTGCTCTCCCCCAGCGCTGCTAGGAGGAGCATTATGCACCGATACTTTTTCATCATCCTTTCTCCTTCTTTCTGTTGGGCTGAAGAGACAAGGAGCAAGTTAGTTCGCTTTCGTTCTTTCTTTTACATGTCCTGTCTGTTTTTTCAAGGCTGGGAAGAAGGACGGGGGGCGACTCCCTCCGCTGCGCGCATTCGATGACTTGTGCCTTGTTCCGTCCTTCGGAGGGCACGGAGGCGAAGTGGCTCACCCCACAGCAGCACGCGTTTCGAGCGACACCCGGAATCTGTGTGCTTCTGTGATACTTCTCACTGGCATAGTCTCCGCAAGCGACCACATCCAGCTCTTAACGCTCTGTCTCTCTCCTCCTTCGATTTCTTCGCCTTTCTTTCGTGGCGGGTGAATCCAGGGCGCGTCATTTTGCAAAGCTGCGGGCGATGCGGCAGTTGGCAACAAGTACAGGTACGAGCAATTTGCATCGCAACAGTTCGGCTTCCATGCCTATGCCCGCGGAGGATTGAAGACCCCTCAGCACCGCAACTCTGTCTCCGTTGTCATTCGGATTGATCGATCAGCTAATCTCGTTCTGGTGCACCAGAACTGCAAACGTGAACGACTACTGTCCCCGGAGTGGCACAACAGAAATGGTGGCTTTCTGACTAGTGTAAGCAAGGCACGAAGAAAGCTGGGGCTCACATTCTTCCCGCCCTGTCTCCAACACATCCAATTGACGGGAGATCTCCCTGCTGAAGCCAGCTCAAATCAAAATGGCTGCTACCTTCCTTCCAAAAATCAAGACCATGCATGACCCCCGCCACCCCCCCGTCCCTCGGGACCTCGAGCATGCACAGAAGTGTGCTGACGGAATTGGCTGTTTCAATGGTGGCAACATCGATCGATCACACACACACACACTCCCGAGGGTGAACCAAGAAAAACTTGCTATATTGATCCGTAGAGGGTTCGCCCTCTTTCTGCGAGGAAAAAGCTTGCCGAAAGACGGCTGTGCCAGTTAAGACATTTTGTTGCAAAATGCATCCAGGAAGTTTTCTTCTCCATGAGTTGCAGCCGCCCGTCTTGGCCGGGCAAGACGGCCTGAGTTCAGCGCAGGGCCTCCCCCTATGTGCACATGACACCACACGAGGCGACTGCGGCCGGCAATGGGCACCTGGTGAGGCCATCAACAAGATGCAAACTTAGGCAGTCGGGGTTATAGACGATGGTGCGTGAAGATACAAAGCAAGTCATCTGCCTTCCGAAGAGAGAGGGGGACAAAGAGAGCAAGATCGAAGAGAAGCATCGCTTCACAGGAGGACGGGCGAGTCCGGCCTCCAGGAACACGAAGCAAAGCAACCCGTCCCGAGCAGCATCAACGGCAGCCAAGCTTCGGTATAAGCCTAGTGCACCCAGGTTGGTCACTTCCTGCCAATGGGATCAATCCGTTACGAAAGGCAAGGGCAAGTCGGTCAGCTGACCTGAAGCCTTGACATACCTAAAACAATGCCACGGCACGGTCTCCAAGACGCATTCGTCTGCGCCCAGCTGCCTACAGGAGCCATGAACAATCAAGTAGAAGTTGGTCTTCAAGTAATGGAAACGTTGCACTGTAGTTCAACCAAACAAGAAACGTCCATCCACCCAACACAAAAATAAATGCAGCCGGACCGCCGCATTCGATCTAAGCAAAGGTTGGCCAGTTTGGAGCCGATCCGCTGGCCCCGCAACTCCTTCTCCACCGCCAGCATTGCAATGTAGCCTCTTCGTTTGTGATGCATTACTTCTGTGATATCTCTGCATGCCATCGACTCTTCTATCGACGACATGGCTTTACGTGCCATCGGTTTGATAGTCACATGGAAAGGAACTCGCTGAAATGTTAGCCCCGGCGCATCCCGGCGCCACGCTTGCCCGTTTGCCGCTACAGTAGGAGGAAGAGGGGTCTAGGAGCCTGCCCTTGCCTCCCCGATTGTACAGCTTGGGGGACTGACACGTCTCCACCCCTCCCAATCTCACTGCCCTTTGAACTGGCAACTGGCTGTGACCAGATCTTGAAAGACCCTCCTTAGCTGGTCTGGAGTTAGTGTGAGATCGGTGAGTGACCATTCTGAGTTTCCCTTTCCTTCATGGAAATACCCACACCACAGTTCACTCTCTCCGATTTCATCCGGCCACCAATACCTGGTTCTAACTTGCACAGCACAACACTTCCATCGAAAGCCGCGCTGCCTCGATGGGTCCTCCTGCAGCGGTGCGTGTCGAGCTTGCAGATAATGGCACCCACGCACCGGTCCCCCTGCATGGTCATGTAGCAGAGGTCTGGCCAGTTGTTGATGAAGTAGCGGTATGTGAAGACGGAATAGGGCTCTGACAAGTCCTTGTCGATCAAACTAACGATTCCAGGCATGTCGCGCTCATCTTTGTACTGCTCAAAGCGTATATCATTTTTGCTGTCTGCCGGACTGCTGGGATACGCCATGGCAGCCGGCCCGAATTAGCGAATCTTGGGCATTTGGGCCGTACTTCTTGCGAAACTTCAGGCGGCCATCACTGCAAGACAAGTAGACCCAAGCCTTAGCAAAGATGAGACACGCTCATGTGGATTAGGTCCATGCCAGGAGTGGTCTCGCACTCTCCTCACACGTGGTTGCTTTCCGACCTGTGGTCACAAAGTGCTTGCGGCGTACGAGGCACATGCCCAGACTGTGGAAGCATGCAAACATGCCCTTACCCGCAAATGCCAGAGTTTGGCATTCTTTCGTTGCAACATATTCTGCTGGAGAACAAGCTCAAAGCCTCGCCTGTCAGGGTCATGGCTGCCTCGGAGAGGCAGGAAACTGGGTAAGTCGAGCGAAATCGGTAGCTTGGCCTTGGGCGGCAATTGATCCTCATCTTTCTGCTTTAGCAAACTCGCTCGAAGCTCAGGCGAGGGTGACTGTAGGGAGGACTACAAGGCACCAACAGCTCATGCCTTTCCTCTTACATGTGATCTACGACTCCGACCGATGCATCAAGATCAAACGACTTCCAGTCATCTCTAATGATCTTTCTAGTGGCTACAGCGTGAATATATTTGCTAGTGTCAAGTTGATCATGTGCACAGAGTACTTCCTGCTTGCATGTAAGCACGAAGGTCTCGCATAGATGCACACAGCTGGATGCTTCTTGTCCTTCGAAGCTTTGGCCTCGCTGGCCATCTTCTGGAGAGAGGACTCTGCCCTAACCCTAAGGCATCAAATTCTGTTCGCAGAAGGTCGATGGATCTCATGTGTGTGCGGATTCTGCGGAGTGCATGAGCTGCTCAGGTCTGAACTGCTGCCGCTGCAGCCGCAGCCCATGGCCACAGTCTCCTGCCTCGGTGCTCGTACATGCAAGAATTGCAACGCGCGTTCACTTGCTTCTGACTGGCCAGTGTTCGTTCACATGGATTCATAATATACCTGGCCTAGTACGGGTGGCAAAGACCGATGGCTGCATCTGTTTTTTTTCACGCTTGCGCGCCTGCCAGCACTCGCTGCGTCTTCTTTCATGCCCCCGGTACAGGGAGAATGAAACCGGCATGCAGGCTATCGCTTGTCGGCAGAAACGGGTGGAAACGTGTTCCAAGCAGGCAAGCGAAATAAATACAAGGCATCTGCACCGCACGGCACTCCGGATCTGGGGTTGTTTGCGCTGTTGCTGAGCCGCTGTACAAGGAGTACGGCGGACCTTAATCACATGGAAGTAAACGGCAAATGATGTTACGGAGAAGCCAAGGTGCTCTCAACCGTGGGTGCCGCGAGTGCAGAATATAAGATTAAACCGCCGCCCAAAAAAAACACAACATCAGCATCCGTTCGGATGCGAATCTGGTGAAACTGCCGCCCTTACTTGCTGCCAACATGCCCAGCATCTTTTGGGTCATCTCGGCAGTGGGCGCAGCCGACCACTCTAGTCAAGTTATCTTTCATCCTACGAGAGCAAGCCACAAGGCCGGATAATTACATGCACATGCTTGACATGGCCTGGCGTTTGCTTCGGCCGTGCCGTGCCGTGTAACATGCTAGACTGCATTGTCATGACGCGTGCCTTCAGACTTCAGAGTACATGGCGAGCGAACCAGTGGCCATGCCAACTTTTCAGTCTCCTTTCGGAGTTATATGTATCTGTGTGATTCCCGGCATCACCCGATAGGTTCTTTCTCATTTGACGAGCGCGAAGCCAAAGAATGCCTGCAGGAACATCTGCGCAACGTAACTTAGGCGAGGAGAGGAATTTTGTTTAAAGCCACCGCAGCGTGGCTCTGTTTTAATGAACTCAACTAAATCACCCTCGCGCCGAGCGCTGGCCTCCTGGAAACCGACAGCGAAGGCTGAAGAGGGGGGGGCTGATGTCCTCCAAGGAACAAGAACAGCGCTTTCTTGTCGGGATTCGTTTGATTCAAGTCGCAAAAACCAACATATCAAAGCAAGCCCGAGGGTGTCCAGCTGCTTGCGACATCACAAACTGCGCCAGGCCGTTCAAGACTTCGTGAACCTTACTCTGCCAAGCGTCAGGCAGAAGAGTGGCAAGGCCAAATCAAAATAAAACCTTTTCTCCAGTTGTCAAGTTCTGATCCCTGCTGCTTCAGCGCGAGGGGCTTGCGAGAATTCGTCGCCCGTGAACTTGCGAAGATCTACTATGTCCTGCAGGTATGGCTCGTGCTTGCGCTTGGGGGCTTCTTCCGGCAACTCCGACTGTGGGTTGGCTCGTGCAGAGGCTTGCCGGCAGTACACGACAGGCAGTTCCGTCTTGCCAAGGTGGCGACAACCCCACTATACCCGTTGGAGAGACAAGCTATGCAAGCTGTGCTCCGGTGAATTCTGCACGCTGGTGTGGTCTACAGAGGCATCGCATCCTAGTGCATGGCAGTCAACATCACAGGGGAGTCGAATGGCCTTGACCGTGGTCTGGTTGGAACCTCGAAGGGTTAGTATACCACGCATGAAGTCTCCGAAGGTCAAGGGCTCACCGTCTTCGAACAGCAGCTTGCCTGGGAGGCAGTAACTGTCCAGTTTCTGCGAAAGCATCAACGCATGAACCCAGCGATTCTAATGACAGTGATCAACCTCCAACATGGCAATAGTTTTTCCAATTCATTCTTGGCTTTGCAAACTCCTCAGCGAGGTGACTTCCCGGGAAGAGCTTCATAAATCTGCGGCTTGCTCCTTCATCTCACAAGGTTTTTGCCCAAGCTGCCGTAATCCAACGCTGCCTCGACATCAACTCCCAGGCTGGTCAGCGCAGTGACCGCCTGACCGATTGAGAGATCAGGAGGCACATGTTCGTGGTGGAGAGTCACTTTTCCATCAATGTTTCAAAACAGCAGGAACATGTTTGATTAATCAATTTCGTACGGGGTGGGGGGGTGACCTCATAGATCTCACAGACAACGTAAGGCTGTCGGAATGAATCTTCCACTGCAATCGTGCTGAAAAGCCGCAGTTGGTGCACTTAACAGAAACCCGTTGCCTCTGGCTTCCGCAAAACATTCCTGAGGGCACGGGCCAGCAATGCACTACTGTAGCACTTTAAGATGCTTGCAATGCCGGTCATCTTAGAGCAAGCACCTAGCTCTCTCTGACCCGCTACGAGAGAGCTGCCGTCTCGGCGGCTCGCCACTGGTACATACAAGTACAGGAAGATGCAGCGTTTCAAGGCTCGCGTCGAATATCGACACAGCTCGGAGGGATTCAGAACGCTTTTTACTTTAAGCCATGAGGCATATACTCCTCCTCGGAGATTTTGTTGTCTCCGTCTGAGTCTGCCTCGCCTGACATCATGAGCTTTCTTCTTAAAGTGTGTCCCTCCGCAGCCCAGTCCCCGGCTGAACATCTTAAAGCCTGAGCAGCGGGTCTCCGCTGAACCAACATGTGGGGGTGCCAGGTAGCGGAAGAAAGAGAGAGCCGAAGCACCGACAGGCCGTGCATGAATCTTGAAATGCGACCATCGAACATGCACCCTGACAGGTGCCTTTGGAAATCATCTCCCACAACACATGCTTGGCAAAATCGACTTCCAGCTGCTCGCGCTCAATGGTGGAGACTGTCTTGATGGCTTCGACGAGCACGCCTGCGACAGGGCTGAAATTAGAGTGTTCAGAACAAGGCGACTTGACCATTTGGTCAGAACATGACGACAGGCGCTGTGGCAGCATTGTCACATCCACCGGCCTAACAGCATGTTCATAACCGTGAGCGAGCCCACCAGTATGAACACAATCAGCAAGGCCACGATTATCGGGCTGTCCTGTGCTCAGATTTCCTTACTCCGGCCTAGAACCGTCTTCTGCTAAGCCTGAACTTGCAAAATAGATGACGAACTTCAGGGACTACCCGACTACCCAAAGAAGGTCTGACGAATCTGTGGCCGATCCAATTCGGCAGCGTCATGGCGGCACGACGGCTTCAACCGCGAGACTGCCGAAAGCAAGCTGCAATCTGTCACATGGGCAGGACTGTAATGTCAGACGCAAGTTGACGCAAGCACCACAGGTTTGGAGAGTGCATGTCAACAAGCTGTAGCCGCGACTGTAGCCTGGGCCCACGACCAACAACAAAGATGCAGTTTCATCGCCGATCTTTGTTCATCAACTGAAAGCAAGCAATTTTCTGACCCTTTTGGCCGTTGACCTGTGGGTTGGCCAACGCGGAGTCACATCAGGACCTGAACCGCTGGATGCAATCTCTAGCGGATCGCGGACGAACCCCTTTCAAACCACAGGTCCGCCTAAGGGACCACTGCAAACTTCGAGCGACGAGACGTGTCAGTAAGGGGTAATCTGCCCGCAAAAGCTTCGAAGCTTCAGCTACAGTGACGGACTGTTCTTCGGGTGGGGAGACCGCTGACGCTGATGCGGCAACCCAGCACGTTGGTTCAAGGTGTCCAGCAGCCACGAGCCGCACTACCATCGGTGCCAAACCAACCCATGCAATTCCACATGCACAGCCAGCAACACGAAACCTGTAGCCGTGCTTTTATCCCAGGTTTGCTTGTCCCCTTGCCTGCTCCCTTCGGCGTTCCCGGATGGCAGGAAGAAGCACTGCATGTTGTGCACACGGGTTGACGGACGACGGCAGTTTCTTATGGTATGCCACATTAGTGGACCTGTCTCTTGTACCGAGCCAAACGAGCCGGGTGTCCTTGCCCACCTCTTGAATCAAAGCAGCTTGATCGGTCAGGACACATCCCAGGATGAGGGTTTCCACAGTGTTGCCTGTGGCTGAATGCGCTGCGAAGTGGGAGACAAAAAAACTTCCAGAGTTTAACTCAAAGGCATCGCCATAATATATCCAAGATGCCCATCGTCCTGAACATAGTAGTTTCCAAGTTCTCGATGCCCCGACTGAACTGCATGAAGGCCACCGAAAACACGTAAGTGACAAGCAGAAGCAGGAGCAAAGTGAAGAACCTGCAAATCAAGATTCTCTATGCACTGTTCCGACAAGCGTTTTCTTTCAAGCGACCAGCTGCTGTGTTTTGGTGGAAAAGACTAGATGCAATCGCTATGCTGAGGGCCCTGCACGGACCGGAATGCCACCATCATGCCCTTCACGAGAATCATCAGCTCGGGCATAAACCGCACCAATCGGGCCATTCGTGCTGTTCGAAGCACTCGCATCACCCTTGCTACCCGAAGAACGGAGAGTCCCCCAGTCGATGCACCGGCTGAGTCCGCAGAGAAGACGTGTACCAATGGCATGAACCAAGTTTCAATAATCATCAATAAAACGAGGAACAAGTCGAAAAGGAACCACATATCTCTGAGTGCGTATATCTTTCGGGTGTATAGCAAGAACCGGATGGTCAGCTCAGCGGAGAAGAACAAGCAGAACAAGTTCTCAGCTATGATGAACAGAGGATCGGCTTCGGCAAGGACGTCCGCATGATTGAGTTCAATGTCGACGCCGATCCAGATTGCATTGAGAAATATGACGGTCATGGTTATGCGCTCGAACATGGGATGACCCGCAAGCCTCAAGTTGCAAGTCTGAGGCTTTAGGAAAGCTGATAGGTTCAACTTTGACTTAGACGTATACATAGACTTCAACATTCAGTACGCATAATTAGGCAGACAAGAACAGTGCAGATGAGACTCCTTGCCAGAAATCCGTCCTGCGAGACACCACAGACTGCTGGACATGTTTAGCATGACCCACCCACCCACACCCCCACCCCCGCCCGCACCCACACTACAGAGAGACAGACACAAAGAGAGACACAGAGAAACACACAGAGAGAAACACGAAGAGATACAGATTTTTGATACTTACAGGGAAACACAGAGACACGGACAAACACACATGCAAGCAGACCCCCAACCGGACACACGGAAGCACAAACACACGCAGGCACAAACACGGAAAGTTAGGATTGGATTGATTTTTCTCACCAACCATCCTCACAGCTATTTCGAACCCGAGAGGCTGGCAGGGTATCACGAGTTGGGCTAAGGGCCTTGATGTGCCGCAACCCTACCTGGGCTGTAGCCCTCTCTCCCGTGGGGGGCTCCAACTTTCAAAGGCCGTCGGCGGTGGAGGGGATGGATGGAGGAAGCCTAGATACTAAAAAGCCGTCGTGATTGCAATCATCAATTGAAAAACTTCAAAGGGGGCTGCAGCAATCCCTTTCTCTGCATGAGGGCACCTTTGTGGCTTGTGACTGTGCTGGCTTTTCTGTGGAGTAAAGCAACAGATTCTTCGGGCCCGCTATGGGATGGCTCAGTGGCGTGATTTCGCTCCGCCTTCTCTGCCCTGGTGAGAACTGTTGGCCTCGAGCCCTCAGACTATCTTCCCTCCAGCCTTCGACGGGGAGGAGCCACCCACTTCTACCAGCACACACAGCCCTTAGGTCGCACCTTGGTGCAGGGTCGGTGGAAAGACCAGTGCACTGCAAGGATGTATGTTGATGATGCCAGGCCACTCTGATCCAACTTCAACAGCCCCCCCGCCCCACGTCACCGCCCTGCAGACACGTCTGGCTTCCTTTTGGAGGGTGGCTTCGCCAGGATGATGGTTTTTGGAACCAAGTTGGGTTTGGTCGTGAGTTGAGCTTCCGTGAGTTGGGCTTCCTTGTCCTGTACTGAGGGCCTTTGAAAGGTGGTTCCCTGTTCTGGGAACAGGCGCACATGATGAAGGTCGAGCGATTAGAGCTCCATCGTCCGAAGGAAGAAGCCGAACCCCAGCAAGACTAAAATCGCCAGGGTCGGACGTCCGATTCTGCACTGCAGCGGATGCCATGGCTCTCGCTCCCAGCCATGAGGGAAGTGGTTCGTTTTGTGGCCAGATGCTGTCTTCGTAGACCACTCACTGTCCACCCAGCTAGTGAAACATGTTCCCCTTCCTGAAAGAGGTGATTGATATACTCTGGAAGCTCATCATCAAGAGCGAACATCGACTTTGGTAGCCTGCCCCTTAGGGCGCGAACATATTCAAAAAAAGCCTGCACCGCCTTTTCAAAGTTTCGCCTTGTTTTGTCCGTGATGCCCAAAAGTATCTGAGGTGATCATTGCGGTTAAAACCTTCGCAACGCACCATCTGAGAAGCTCCATTTGGAAATGGTCCACAGGGAAATGGGATACACAGATGCGGCGATGCTCAGGGCGGTGATGCGGCGGCACAGGCGATCGAGGCGGAGGGAAGAAGAGCGCCCCTTGCTCAAACTATAGAAGGCTACCATGGAATGCCGAGAGCTGCAACACGTTGATGCGCTGGCTCGACGCCCACTTGTAGCTCAGGAAGTCCCTCCACAGCCACCTAAAGGCTGGGTAAGGGGGTCGGCCGCCCCCGTTGCAGTTCTCCACCTTGGTGGGTCATGCGACATTCGTCCCAAGGTGGTGAACATGACGAACGAACTCTTTGAGGTGGAACGCCTCCGGTTTCCATTAAGCCCGGGAGCTCAACAATCCGAGCGACTGCATCGTTGGTGGTGGTCTCCGACTGGAAGCCTCGCGTGCTCCATTTGATCTCGTGGAAAATCAGGGAGTCCAGGGATAAGTCACGTGAAACACAGGCCTCAGGGAACTTGCACTTCGCACAGCCTCGGCGAAGGCGAGGCAGAAGTCCCACTGGATACTCGCCGTCCCTCTCTGGGATGAAGCCTCGTGAGGTCCATTGATGAACCCGGGTTGGCTCAACCCAATCATGGCCAGGACAGGTTGATTGATGGATGACCTGGTGGAGAAACTGCGAGTTGTGGACGATGGTGGTCCATCTCTCTCTCTGCCCGCCAAAGTAGCAGTCACTGAAGACTGACCAGCACCAACCTTCTCCGTAGAGTCGTAGAGAGGCCGGGCCTCCTTCATCCACCACATCATGGACCCGAAGGGGTGCTCGAGGAAGGCAAACCTGCCATTGTCCTTCGCATCGATAAGTCCTTTGATGGATCTCTTGGCCTGATGTACCCTGATTTGATCAGCCCTGGGAAGATCCCTCTGGATTCTGGCTGTCTCGCAGAGGGCCTGGTACTGCCAACGGCGCCAATGTTGAGAAGTCCGGCGCCCAATGTGACCACATGAAGTCACCCTCGGTCTCTTCCTCGTCCAGGCGGTCCTTGCCATGCTGGGCGCTGAAATCCCAGCGGTCGCCCTGCACCGAGATTCCCCTCAGGGCCACCGCAAAGGTGAGGGTGAAGTTCCTTCCGGAAAACCTCTCTGCAAACTTCGGTGCTTGGAAGGCTTTTCGGACCTACGTCTCATCATGCGCTCGAGTGCACTTGACAGAACACTGCCAGGCCGCTTCCTTGGGCACCGGTACCACCTCGTGCCACGCTCCGGGAGCCCTTTTCCGCAAAGTCCACAGGTATCTCCTTCTTGGAGGGTGTCTGGGAGATTCAGGGACCTTGTCTTGAAATAGCTGGCAACTGACGAGCCCCCTCCAGTGCGGGATGCATCTGTGCAGCTAATCACCGGCGAGATCGGCGAGGAAAGGTCGGTCTCCGCAAATGGGATCAGGGCCGCGAAGCAGATAACATCGACCATTGGTGGAGGTAGACGAACCTCACGGACAAACATGCTGGAGGATGGCCTTCTGAATGCTGCGGCGCAGGCTGCCTTACCAGCCCAGTGCCTTACACTGAACTATTAAGCGACATGTCCAGCAGCTCAACTGACTTCTCATAGACATGCGGAATGACTTTGCACTCCGCCAGGATCTCACCTCCTTGGAGGGTTCCATTCAATGCCCCGCAAAGCTGCTTTCCCAGGTTACGCGGGAGACCCAACTGCTCACAGGCATCAATGAACTTGATGTGGTTCGGTGATGGTTTCCTCCTCCTCGGAAGCTGCTTCAAGTACCAAAATTATATCGAGGTAAAGAATCGTGTGTCCTTCTGCAGCTGGAAGTGCCGCCCCTTTTTGCACATCCTCTGCTCGGGACCTTTGCGATAGTGTGCGGAATGTGTCTGACGGCTTCTTGAACCAGGGTGACCGCCGAGGTCCATCCCATAGGCACGACTCGAAGAGGCTGGCCTCACACTCGTGTAGCGTGACTCTCCAAGGGCGTCTCCCCGAACTTTCTGGGCGAAGGCGAAAAAGGGGAGCCAGCAGTCCGGCATCCTGAACAAACTAAAGGTCGACTGGAGGTCCTCTGAGTCCATCACGGTGTAAGACTCTTTGTCAACCAAGATGCCCGTCAATTGGCCCACGTAAGGGAGTAGGTCCTGGCCCCTGGCAACAATCTCATCGCATCATAGGTCGGACAGAGCATCGAGATAAAACGCTGGGCCTTTTCAGAAAATCCGCCCACCACTTTGACCTTTTGGAACAGCTCCCGCACCGTTCGTGATGTAATGGCCATTCCGGTCGGTGGGGATCTCGATGTCCTCCACTGCAGCAAAAAGGCTTCGGTCGTAACCGGCTTGAACAATTTTGAACCATTAGTCCTCGTTGGCCCAAACCCTTGAGCCCCCGGCATGCCTCTCTGGCATTTCCACTTTGGGGAGCAAGAAGTCCCTGGCCCCGGTTCAAGCAATTTTGCGAGGTCTTCTGGGAGGCAGGCTTTCAGCTCGACCACTGCCGCGTTCCCGGGCGAGGGCCATGCCTTAACAACCTGCTCAACGCACAGGTCCGGCATGTGCTCAATAGGTCAATAGGTTCGCCAGCGTAGTCGAACTTCTTTGAGCGGAGCTTCGCCTCTGAGGCAAGTGGTGTTGAAAGGCGCTCCGACCTTGAAATGAAGCGATCAACCCAACCACCTCGGCCAAGGACTCAACCACCTTCTGCTGTGCTGGGCCGAATACCTTCCGAGGAGACAAACTGGGTGGCTCCAGGCCACGCAGTACAGGTAGTTCAGGGCCAAAAGTACGGTCTTTTGACCCAGTCGACGTTGGTCTTCGTAACCCCAAGCAAAGCCAGGCGCAATCAGAGCAGGGTGAATTGGCAACGCATCTCCATGGCCGCGCGATCGTCCCTGTGCGGCAGCAGTGGACTCGGCGTCCGTGGGGAGCCTTTCGGGGTTGCAGTGCGTTCGGGCAAAAACACACGCGTCGCGCTCTGCCACAGTAGCCTCCCCTGCCGTTTGCACCTTCTTGGGGGTCCTGGATAACGCACTCCTCATCTTGTCCCTCCAAACTGGCCAAGCAACTCCCTCGTTTGCAGCATCCCTGAAAGCTGCCACCGTCAATCCTGAAGGAAGACCCTCTCATCGTTCTCTCCAGGTCTCCGACTTCACAAAGTCCAAGACACCATGTCTCCCACCTTGGCCATGTCATCACTTGGTGTCCGCCGCCAAGTAATCCGCCTTCTCTTTCATTCTGCGGGGCATTCTCCTTCCCCTTCCTTGTTTGGCCCCCTTCGGGTCTCCCTTCTGGCCTTTCTGATCCTCCTTGCCGAATCGTGTCCATTTTTGGGTTCTGGAGCTTCCTCATCTTTCTTCGAGGCCATCACGGCCTCGTCCCTCTCCACCAGAGTCGCCCCCTCTGAATCCAGCAACTCCATGAATTGTGCTCCTCCCCAATTCTGGTCCGTGTGGGGCAGATCGTGTCGGCGGCGGTGAGGTGGTGACCGACTGCGAGCTGGTGCAGGGCCAGGGCCAACGTCCCCATCTCCCTTAACGTCCTCACATTGATCGCTGCCCTGTGAGCAGTTTTATCAGCACCCACTGGCTTGGCACTGACGGCGTCAAGACGTCTGACTGGTCGTTGTAATCGCTCGTGCCGGCAGGGTGCGCATGCGCTGTAGCAACCGGGCTGCCAGGCGCCCCCGCTTCTTCAAGGAGTACTCCTTGAGCTGAAGCTGAAAGCTCCCTTCGTCTGAGGACCAACTCGACGACACATGGCCTCCATAGGTGACCCTGGGCCCTACTCCAAAGGGACCTCGGTCGGCAGGCTATTGTCCTTCTGCTTTTTCTTATTCTTCTTTTTCTTCTGGGCCTTGGGAGGCTTCTCCTCCGTAGAGGTTGAGCCCGAGGAGGTCTCCTCGAACATACCCGGACCCTCTGGTGCCTGTGCGCCGCCAAGCCATCCGGCCGGTTTGCCACCCTCAGGGGCGTTTGGATTCGAGACCTTGCCCCGCGATCCTTCTTCTTCTTCTTCCTCCTCTTTCTCTCCTTCTTTTCCGAGACCTCGGCTCGCCGCCTTCTTGTTTCCTCTTCCTCTCCAGCTCCTTCTCCACGGCCGTGAGCTTCGCCTGCGCTGAGTCGGCCTGTCTGCTGCCAGTGCCTCAGGAACTTCAAAGGCCAGCCCGCCTCCTTTTGCTTCTTCCTGAGGTCTTACGCCCGAATTGACTCTGTCCTGTCAACTGAGCACTCTCGTGCTTGACGTACTTGTGGTAGGGCCTGGTAGGGGCTCTCAGGCACCCATCAGCGAGGTCGCCCAGGGTGATGATCCTGAAGCGATCTGTGTGGAAGTCCAGGGACCGGATACGGTGGGTTTGCCGACACTGTCTCTGTGCGGTGGCACAAAAGTGGACCTCCAACTGCCACCCCTCATCTCTTCCTGGACCGTGGTCCAACCACCAGGTCCAACCACCAACCAATGGTGCTCGTCTGACACCGCTAAGAAGGTAGCCTTCTCACAACCACTGTCCAGTTCGGCTCCTTTCCTCGACCTTATCCAACCTAGCCAAAACAGTGCCTTGGCGAACATTCGTGGGGTCGTACGTCACGAACTCCACATAGTCTCCTGCGGACAGCCCTACGGTTCGCCAGGCATCGGGGTCGGAGGTTGGACCTATCCACGCCCCAGGCATCTCCGGGTGCCTGAGGTCCCTGGCAGAGCTATTGTGCACACGTGAGAAAGGTCATGACTGCGCACTCCTAGTCTCGCGCTCGTCACTAAGCGTAATGCGATGACCGGACCTGCAAGGCATAGTGGCATAGTGCCTACTCTTGACATGCCGCCTCATGTGCCGAAGGGTCCATGGAGATGGAGCGCTTCACCTTGTATCTCAACCTGCCAGCCCCCATCGCACCGAGGTGGAAGGACATGACAGACTGAAGGCAGAATCAAAGGCAGTGTGACTCCGGCACGGAGTGGTAATTATAACGCAAGCGCTGAAAACTAATGGCTGCAGGAGCGGGGTCCCCATAGCGGGTACACTGAAATAGCCAGTTTCAGAACCGCATACTCAGTTGGCTTCCGTTGGATGAGATCACTGAGTATGCGTGTCATCCCCCGGGATGTTGTGATTGTAAGGAACGTGAGGAACTTGGGAACAGGGTTTACACACACACACAGACCCGCATGCACACACACACAGAGATATATATATATATATATATTTATATATATACACACACATGCACGGACGGACGGACACGGAGACACACGACAAGCTCACAGAGACAGACAGACAGGCTGACAGACAGGGGGAGACAGCGAGAGGCAGACAGAGACGGAGACAGACGCAGACAGACAGAGAGAGAGAGACAGATAGAGACAAATAGAGAGAGACAGACAGAGAGAGACAGACAGAGAGAAACAGACAAACAGAAACAGACAGACAGACAAACAGACAGACAGACAGACAGACAGACAAACAGACAAACAGACAAACAGACAGACAGACAGACAGACAGACAGAGAGACAGACAGACAGACAGACAGACAGACAGACAGAGAGACAGAGAGACAGAGAGACAGAGACAGACAAACAGACGGACAGACAGCCAGGCAGGCAGGCAGACAGACACACA